ACACACACACACACACAGAGACACACACAGACACACACAGACACAAGGCATGATAAACACACTACACCAAAATGACCAGAACTGATCAGACACAATAAAAGATGATCAAATGACGAGGAGTAAAACACTGACCACAGCCAGGCAACATACACTAAGTACTTGTACCAGCTAGATTTCAACTGTAATCATGTTTTCAATTTTTCAATTACACTGTTTTCAATTACTGTTTTAAAGTTCCTAAAAGAAAATCAATCATTTTTAAATCAACAATTCATGAACACATATTAAAGGTTTTGTTGAAAGAAGCATTTACATAAATGCACATTTAAAACTAGAACATTCCATAACTTAAAATATCATTAAATTGCTATTAATTAAATCATGAATTTCATTTTTCGTTTTGTTTCGACCCACACCACCTGCTCGTGACAGTGGGATAAAGCAGCACTTTTATAGTTTAAGGTTTTGGCATGTACACACATATAACCACACGATATATATCTAAAAAGCTCAACCTAATGTACCACAGTCCAGAAAGGTGTGGAATTCATCAAATCAGCGAAGTAACTGTGACACTGTGTTTTTCTCCTGTAGCCTATATATCCCTCTGATCATCAGAGCAAGTGCTGCGATAGTTTAGCCCCTGCCACCTGAGGAGGGGAGCTAAACGTTTTCAGATCACCTTTACAGAGGCAGCAGGTGAGCTGCTGTAGACTGTAGGCTCTCTACACAACTATAAATCCTGCAGGCCTACTCGTCCACTAGAGGGAGCTGCAGCCTGACAATTCTATGCGTGCAACTTGTTTCATAGGAAGCACCCTTGAACATGTTATGTGGGTTTAGACTGAGATATCCTGTGACACAGAAGAACAAAGAATGAAATGAATACATCAAGTACCGGTAAGTAATGGGTATTGTGGCATTAGCTACAAGAGAAAGAGGCGTGTGGATATTACACTTGAGAATGAAACAGATCAAGTTTGATTGTAGCTGACTGATTTCTACACAAGATTCTACAATTTCACACTGATAATCATAATCATAAGAACAGCATTAGGATGCATGAAAACTTATTTTAAAGATGCATGGTAAACCCTTTGCAGAACGTGCTTCAGTGATTCTGTTTTCTACAGACTGCATCGATTTGTCCTCATTTCTGACGGTGTGTTATATGATCTTGGTCCGGCTCCGAGCATCTGGACCTGCAGCTCTGACTACACCATCTCTCTACAGCGGTCGCTCAAATTCACTTTCAGGTGTCCAAGACCAGCTGCTGTCTATTATCTCCAAAAGCTGCTTGCCACACTCACATTTTTCACATTTCAAATCTGACATGAAATGGCTTATAAATGTCAAAACTATGAAAATACCTTCAGCTTGTTTAAAGGCAGTATTTCAGGCATTCACCCCAAGCCCACTGGCCACGTCCAGAATCACGTTCTCTCTGAGTACACACTTCTTTTGAAACTATTACAACTCATACATTCACACCAGCATAACTCTAGATATCTTGAATTGGATTTCGGACTAGTTACAGTTTCATAATGCATAACAGATTGGAATTCTTCTTTGTCAAATCGCAGATATCTGCAATTTAATTATGGATATCTCTATATATGGTTTTTGGCTAGGAAATACTTTCTTTGTACTTGTCTGCATTCAGCTTTTTGACTGGCAAAAAATATCAAATCAATATAGATATCTGGAATTAAAATCCTCACTATTGAAAATGATTAAAAGATATCAGAAATGCTACACCTTTGTCAAGCCAATTAACCAAATGAACCATTCTGTCAAAGAATTGTCTTTATAATAAAGGCCCTGTATGTTTGGGTCATTTTAAGTGGAATTATACAGAAACAAAGACAAAACCTAGTGGAGGTAGATGTAGAAATGAGGATTATTAGCAGGATTATTTTCCTAAAGTAAACTAGTGGAAGCTTTTGCCTTGGCATAAAAAAATTAAGGTAGCCTATTTAATAAAAGGTCATTACGACTTTAATCACAATTCTGACTTCTCACAATTCCTTTATAGTTAATATCTTGAAATTTCTATTTAACATCTTGCTTTTTTTTCCCTTTAAATTGTGAGTTTCTTTGAATATCAACAGTGGTAAACAGTGAGTTAATTAATTACATCTGATTAATAATTATGTTTTGAATATTAATGTTCCAGGTCTCTTGTATCTCCAACTATGTTTTTGCTGTTAAATACAAAGATTTAAAAATGACAAGTAAATATTTTTATTCTACACATTTAATTTTTTTATGATAATTTGTGACTACAGTCAGTAAAGTGGGACACATTTTCAGCTCACTTGTGCTTAAATTACACAATTTCTTACAATAGGACAAACAGAAAAAAAACAGTAATATTGTTAATATATATTGGAAAATGTTATGTATTCCTGTTATGCGAATCTGCATTTTCAGAAGCCATTTCAGAAGCAGTTAGCAGATTTATTTATACCGTTTATAGCATATCAACAGTCCAGCTGTCTCAGTTGTGGTGTTAGAAGAGTGTAACACCTTGAATCGGGGGATCTTGTTATATATATCTATATCTATCTGATCTCTATCGTTAGTTTGATCTGACCTTCTGCGTGAGCTCTCTTTATACCGTTTATAGCATATCAACAGTCCAGCTGTCTCAGTTGTGGTGTTAGAAGAGTGTAACACCTTGAATCGGGGGATCTTGTTATATATATCTATATCTATCTGATCTCTATCGTTAGTTTGATCTGACCTTCTGCGTGAGCTCTCAACCAAAGCTGTGTTCCCTCATTTGCACACGGAAAAGTAAGAAGAAATAAATCTGGAAATAAATACACGTGGGAATAAAAAATAATAAATACATACATAAATAAATTTTATTAAAATAAATGCAAAAAGAAATACATAAAATAATATAATACATAAAGGGAAATTACAAATGAACTATATTTGTTTTTATCAAGCCATTTATTCCTTTATTTATTTTCCTGTCATTTTATTTATTTATTTATCTATATATTTATTTGTTTTTAATGTCTGCAGGTTTGGGCCTCCACAGGACATTACCTGAGAAGTCAGTGTAAATACGTCAGCAAACTGCGCTCTTTCAAGGACGTGCATTTAATGCATGGCCAAAGTAAGAACATCATCTAAGTGTTTAAAACATGCAATGTAGGATTGCCAACTGCTCCCGTATTTAAGCAACATTACATATTGAATCCATACGGAAAGCAGTTTATCGTGTCACACACAGTTTAGGGAGCTACACACTCTCACAAACACAAAAACAAGAGCGAATTAGTTGAAACTGTAATAATAACATATTCGGCAAACTCTTCTGTGCATATGATGTAAACATATGTTTCTATTTACAATGTTTGCAGCATTGAGCAGTTCAGCCAATCACAGACACGTCTGTTGAACCGCTGAACTGAGATGAGTGACAGGCTCAGTGCAACTGAAATTATAAATGCTGCACTCTTTGCTATCTGTAATGCAGTCCGAATTTTAATAAAAGGGTTTTTTTCATTTTTCTTTTTCATGATGCTAAGAGGAATGTCCCCTCACTGAAGTTCAGCTATAGTTTAGTTATTCTATATAAATGCTCAAATGAATCTCAGACATGAACATATTTGCTTTGCTTCATTCATGTACAATATATATTTCCTTTTAGAATTAATTTGTTTGTGTATACACACACACACACACAAACAAATTCATTCTAAAAGGGAATATATATTAAAAATAAATAAATACATTTATATAATAAATATATATTCTATTTTAACTAATGCCTAAGTGTAAGTATTGTACCGTGATGATGATGATGATGATGATAGTAAATGCATGAATATTTAAATCGTAGGTAGTTTAAACCATTGTTTTATGTTTAAAAAGCCTGTTAAAATTATGACAACATGACAATATTTTTGGTGAGTTTATAATGTAATACATTTCTCATAATGTAATAATTGTTATTACATTATAAGCTCAAGATTTTATTACATTTTGAGAAAATTATTTCATTATGAACATTTTATTACAATAATAATGCAATACTTATTACAGTATGTGCAGTTTTTACATTGTGAGTTGCTACATACGTGAAACTCAATTTGCACATTAAATAAATGAAACCACAGAAAGATGGATCAACTTATAAAGGACAAAAGATCTGACATTGAAAATGAATCCAAACATGAACTAGATCAAATCAAAGAAAGCACTCCTTAAAATGTTTGCAGAAACATGTGCAGCATTATCATGATCAATCACGCATCTCTGCTCTACCAGTGTTCATGCTGATCAGGATACGATCGTGTAATTGATGTGAGAAAAATATCAACCAGATATCATGGAGAGTTAATGTCTTCTACCCAGCTTGGCCTTGGTGTAACACAATAAATAACCCACAGTCTGTATAAGGTAAGACTGTCCTCGGAAACATTTGTGACTGCGTGTGTGTGTGTGTGTGAGAGAGAGAGAG